ATCAAGAGGTTGGGATGGAAAAACAGAGCCCATGATGTTAATTGCACACTATTTAAATTTGGCTTAGACTATCTTACACAGCTCCTTGCTTTTGATTAGATTTCTGCCAAGTGTTCCGACTCTTTTGTTTGGTAAGTGCTACAAAGGTATGGCCTGCACAGGCTGAGCTTGGGTGCTGTTGGTTTATGCAGAAACATTCCTCTATCACCCAGTCCCGTTTTGGCTGCCCACTCCTGTTTCTTAAAACACTGTAGAAAGAAAGGGAAAAGTAGGATAACAACATAAAACTTTTCCCTTGAACATTTTGTCAGAGGTAAATTCTCTTTAGACCTCTATGTTTTATAAAAAGAGATTCTGCTGATTCTTCTGATTCTGATTCCAAAGAGCACTTAGAAATATAAACCAACTACTATTATAACAGAAAATCATCTAATGATTTAAGAGTATTGCAAAGATTTTGATTCATATCCTGGGTTAAATGCCCAGTATGGAAGCCATACACTGAAACTGCATTATGTTATGACATGCAACTGACTGTATTGAAATATATACATATTTTAAAAATACTTACTTCTATGGAAATATCTGGGAAAAGTTCACCACACCACAGTGATTAGGGACTTGTAAAGGGTGGCCATCTCTTCAAGATCCTCAATAAGGGACTCAGAAGTGGTCAGAACAGGCCACCACTATTTTGGTGTTTTATGCTTCAGATAAAAAAAAATAAGTAATTACATGGCAACAGCAAACAATAATAAAGTTCAATTCGCTGCTGCCTTTGAGGAGGCTGCCCAAGAGATCTCTCAGGCTGCTTCCCCACAGCTGCTCATCAGGCACATGAAGCAAAGCCAGCAGGGAGAGTGATGAAGACACACGTCGTCCCTCATGTTTAGAACAGAGAGTGGAAAGGCCAACAGAGGCAGTCTGGGCTGCACTGGGTCAGATGGAACAGGGGCAGCCTTGTCCCTGGCTCTTGATGCCAGGCTGCCAGCACTGCCACCGAGACACTGCGGGCTTGGGTGGACACCTGGCAGTGGCACCTTCCTTCCTACCCGCTGCAGGGGTGTGACAGTCCCCATGGCTGTGGCATGGTCCTGGATTGAAGAGGTGGGCAGAGGGTGGCTGGAGAAAGGCTGGCAGTGCCAGGAGGGGTGGGGCAGCTGCGGTGGAATGTCTGGCTGCAGCCAAGAGTGTGCAGGCTGCAGGGCTAAGAGGTGGTGCTGGCTGTGTGACGAGAAGCCACGTTTTCAGTTCTAGTGTCCCACAGGCTGGGAGGGAGCACAGGGCTTGGGGGAGGCCAGATGCACCCCAGGCATCTGCAAGAAGAGGCAGAGACAAGCCTGCACCTCTAAAGGAAAACCCAGTGCTCCTGCTCCTATAGAGGCACTCGTGCTTCTCAGCCCACTGGCTTGCCATCACCCATCCTTCCCAGCCCAGCAGGACTGGTCACTCTCTTATCAGCTCACTCCTGGGAACCAAGCACGTCAGGCTCTCCTCAGCCTCTGTGCGTTTTTCCTTTGCTCGTGAAGAATGGAGCCATCAAGAGATTTTCAACTATTTCCTGACCTAACACAGCTTTCACAGGATTTTACAGCAGATGGCAAGGGTGAGATGGTAGCTCTCTGTGCAACTCTATGCATTAATCAATATCATTAGTCATTACAACTGTAGTAGTATCAAAAAGCCCAGGCACAATTTTTGGGTAACGTTAATTCACATCTCATTAGCAAGTACATTTTACCCAGCCACCAGAAGAGAGGCCCTGACTGCACAAATGGTATCTAATCTTTATCTGAGTCTGCTGCTGACAGACACTGTGTTTACAGGAGGGTTTTGCATTTACAGCAAATACTTTTTTGCTAGGATAGTTTGCCACTACTGAGTGGACACTGGTCAGGGCAAGTCATGCACATGGCCATACATTCACTGATCATCCATTGCACAATGATGGCACAAATCTCTGCTGCATCCAGGGATGCATTCTTTTCCTGGAGGCCAAATAAAATTTTCACTGTCACATCTAAATTCTGGCACAGATAGAAGAAAAGACAACCTTATCAGAATGTGTAGGGTTAAAAAAAAATCCCAACAAAACAACAAACTAAATAAACAACAAAAAGTCAGTATTTTCTATAATTTCCTCACTTTAATATGCTGGAAAGGAGTATACAATGCCATGAAATACTAGTAAATGGTCTGCTGTCTTTGCCATACAACTAATTTTATTAAGACACAGTTAACTGGGTTAACTCTCTACTGCATTGACTCCTAGCTTGCTACAGAGTCAAATTATGGTGTGCAATGTTGAGTAAAGTGGGATCTAAACTATCCCAGGCAATTTCCAGTTGTATTGCACAGTGACAACAGACATCAGATTCAATTAGCAAGACATGAATGCATTTTCACAATCTGCAAGTTTTTTATCACTTGCTAGCTGGTAAACAAATAAATTATGCAGTGAGAATTGAAACACATCTCTACTTGGAGCTATATAATGTAATTGTTGTAATTTAATTCAGCTCTAATGAGATTAGAGTTTGCGGATGTGTAATCCAGTATTTTTGTAAAGATACATTACCATACATTTGAACTACAAAGGCAAGTCTGCTTTATCATATTTGCTGACTTGTCAACACCTTTACTTGACTCTGCAAAAGTTTAGTGAGTGTTTTCTTTACCCTTGGTCCCTCAGTTTGATCCTCATGACCTTCAAAAGACATGAGATCAGGAGCTTCTTGCCTTACACTTTTTCTGACAGAAACAAGAAAAAGAGCTGAGAAAGAAGAATGGCAGTTGGACACCTGCATGGCTTTGAAGTTCCTGCTAGGTGAAGTTGAATCTTTCAATACTTAAATCCTTCTAAGAGTGTACATCTCTCCCCAAGTGAGTGGTGACTTGGATTCCCTGTTTCTCCCTTAGATGAGAAGAAAGTGCCATGCAGTCCTTTAAGGCAGATGGTAAAGGTGCAGCATATCCTTCAGTACTCAGGAACAAAACTCAAGGGCACATCACCCAGAGGGCTAAGGTGTATATGGCAAAAAAACAACATAAAGGAGCACACTTCAATTGCTAATAACAATAACAGTCACCATCACATACAGACATTTCAACCAAAAAAGCAAACAAAACAAAACACCAAACCAAAAAACAATAAATATTTGTAAAAAATAAGCAAAACTTATCCCCTTCAGTTGTATAATTTCTATAGAAAATTTTAAGACATTTACAGAATTGGAAGATTTGGGAGGAAAAACAAGAACCAAACACCATCTTTGATAATTACCTTCTCTAAGAGAACCAGTTTGCAACCAGAATTGAACTCATTATTCAGTGATACTCAGTGAACAATGAGAATCATTGAGTACTCAAACTCAAATTCTCAGCCTTTTTCTGTGTGAGCTATACCACAGGCTTTATAGTGCACCTGTACAGTAGGTGCATTAAAGCATCTGAAAGATCAGACCCAGACATTTTTGAGTAAGCCTAGTAGACACTCTATTTAAACTTCAGCTTGCTAATTTTATTGCAAGTGATTTTGCTCCCATATATTGAAGAAGTAAAAGAGAATTTGCTGCCACAGGAGGCCTGGAGAAGCAGTGAAATACCCATCCATGAAGATTTTAATAATTTAGCTTGACTCAGCCCTTATGTCCTTACTCTGATTTGTGCTAGTACAGATAAGGAAGTATCTAGACTTTTGGTGTAGGTCTCTAGAATACTCCATCATTCCAGTTGGTCAGTCATTCTGAAGGAATTGCATGACCACTATTCCTGATATACTGCAAGTTCCTAAGCACTTTCCATGAAGAGGAAACTTAGCAACATATCCAGCAACTCATGAAACAAAGGGATTGGTGAGGGTGAAAGGAAGAAAACTCTCATCTGGCTGTAGTTCAATATGAAGTTATAGCATTTGTTTTGAGGGCATTTCAGGAAAGGGATTTATTATCAGCAGAGGAACAATTGAAGTAAGGTAATTTACATATTGCTTGCAAATATTTTGATAATCAAATTATATGTTTATGGCAATACCAGAAACATTTAACACTTTTTTCACAGAAGTACGTTTAATAAGGAATTTTCTTTTCTTGAAAAACTGTACTGGAATTTCTATTATGTCAGTTTAATCAGTTCCTCAGAAAAACAAAATAGGGAGTGGCTTTACTGTGATCACTGTGAAGATTGCTGCTCAGTACAATGTTTTCCTTAAGCTGCAATGAACACAATGCTTCCTGTCCTTGTAAGTCTAACTTAAAGAAATGATCTTTAGCCATCATCTTAAAACCTGCCTCTCCGGGGGACAGGTGGGAGAGGGTGGAGAGGAAAGCTTGTTACCTCCCTGTTTCCGCCTCACCTTTTCCTAGTTCCTTAATTACTTTTGACCTTAATGAGCCATCTCGGGCGCTGGGCTTGCCGGTGCGCTCCCCGTGAGGGGGCAGCCTTGGTTGCGCGCTGAGGGACCGC